CAAAGTGTCGGATGCCGCGGTGTAAAGCACACCGCCACTGGACTCTAGAGCAGCGGAGACATGTTTTCTGGCGTGACCAATCACGCTTCTCTGTCTGGCAATCCAATGGAGGTGTCTGGCTTTGACGGTTCCCTGAAAAACAGTACTTGCCTGACTGCATTGTGCCAAGTGTAAAGTTTGGTGGAGGGGGGATTATGGTGTAGGGGTGTTTTTCAGGGGTTGAGTTTGGCCCCCTAGTTCCAGTAAAGGGAACTCTTAAGGCATCAGCATACCAAGACATTTTGGACAATTTTATGCTCCCAACTTTGTGGGAAGAGTTTGGGGATGGCCCCTTTCTGTTTCAACATGACTGCACACCAGTGCACAAAGCAAGGTCCATAATGACATAGATGAGTGATTTTGGGATGGATGAACTTGACTGGCCTGCACAGAGTCCTGACCCCAACCCCATAGAACACCTTTGGGATGAATTAGAGTGGAGACTGTGAGCCAGGCCTCCTCCCCCGACATCAGTGCCTGACCTGACAAATGTGCTTCTGGAAGAATGGTCAAACCTTCCCATAGACACCCTCCTAAACCTTGTGGACGGCCTTCCCAGAAGAGTTGAAGCTGTTATAGGTGCAAAGGGCGGGGCCAACTCAATATTGAACCCTACGGACTAAGACTGGGGGGCCATTATGTGTGTGTAAAGGCAGGCGGCCCAATACTTTGGGCAATATACAGGTGAAACTCGAAAAATTAGAGTATCGTGCAAAAGTTCATTTATTTCAGTGCAGCAACTTAAAAGGTGAAACTAATATATGAGATAGACTCATTACATGCAAAGCAAGATAGTTCAAGCTGTGATTTGTCATCATTGTGATGATTATGGCTTACAGCTCATGAAAACCCCAAATCCACAATCTCAGAAAATGAGAATATTACATGCAATCAATAAAACAAGGATTGTACATAGAACAATATCGGACCTCTGAAAAGTAGAAGCATGCATATGTACTCAGTACTTGGTTTGGGCCCCTTTTGCAGCAATTACTGCCTCAATGCGGCAAGGCATGGAAGCTATCAGCCTGTGGCACTGCTGAGGTGTTATGGAAGACCAGGATGCTGCAATAGCGGCCTTTAGCTCTTCTGCATTGTTCGGTCTCATGTCTCTCGGCAATGCCCCATAGATTCTCTATGGGGTTCAGGTCAGGCGAGTTTGCTGGCCAATCAAGCACAGTAATCCCACGGTCATTGAACCAGGTATTGGTGCATTTGGCAGTGTGGGCCGATGCCAAGTCCTGCTGGAAAATGAAGTCAGCATTCCCATAAAGCTCGTCTGCGGAAGGAAGCATGAAGTGCTCCAAAATCTCCTGGTAGATGGCTGCGTTGACCCTGGACTTAATGAAGCACAGTGGACCAACACCAGCAGATGACATGGCTCCCCCAAATCAACACAGACTGTGGAAACTTCACACTGGACTTCAACCATCTTGCAGTGTGTGCCTCTCCATTCTTCCTCCATACTCGGGTCCTTGGGCCTCTCCATTCTTCCTCCATACTCGGGGTCCTTGGGCCTCTCCATTCTTCCTCCATACTCTCGGGGTCCTTGGTTTCCAAATGAGATGCAAAAGTTGCTCTCATCAGAAAAGAGGACTTTGGACCACTGAGCAACAGACCAGGTCTGTTTTTCCTTAGTCCAGGTAAGACGCTTCTGATGTTGTTTGTTGTTCAGGAGCAGCTTGACAAAAGGAATACGACATTTGAAGCCCATGTCCAGGATCCGTCTGTGTGTGGTGACTCTTGATGCACTGACTCCAGCCTCAGTCCACTCCTTGTGAAAGTCCCCAACACTTTTGAATGGCCTTTTCCTGACAATCCTCTCCAGGCTGCGGTCATCCCTGCTGCTTGTGCACCTTTTTCTTCCACACTTTTCCCTTCCACATAACTTTCTATTAATGTGCTTTGATACAGCACTTTGGGAACATCCAACTTCTTTTGCAATTACCTTTTGAGGCTTTCCCTCCTTATGGAGGGTGTCAATGATGGTTTTCTGTACAACTGTTAGGTCAACAGTCTTTCCCATGATTGTGATTCCTACTGAACCAGACTGAGAGACCATTTAAAGGCTCAGGAACCCTTTGCAGGTGTTAAGGCTTAATTAGCTGATTGGAGTGGGACACTTTGAGCCGAGAATATTCCACCTTTTCACAATATTCTCATTTTCTGAGATTGTGGATTTGGGGTTTTCATGAGCTGTAAGCCATAATCATCACAATGATGACAAATCACGGCTTGAACTATCTTGCTTTGCATGTAATGAGTCTATCTCATATATTAGTTTCACCTTTTAAGTTGCTGCACTGAAATAAATGAACTTTTGAGATATTCTAATTTTTCGAGTTTCACCTGTAGTGTATGTATGTACTGTATCTATCTATGTCATTTTATCCATCTATTTTAATCTATCAAACAAATGTATCTGTCTACATTGATGTATGTTGGTGGTGTTTTTCAGGCTGCACAAAAATGCACGGCATTGACAGTGACTTGGCTTCTAACCCTTTCACACTGAATGCAAAATGTTTTGGACCAAGTTGGGCTTTAACGACTCTATTAATATACTACTAGCAAAAGTGTCTTTTCATTAAATGGGCTGAGTATAGAAATGTGCATCACTTGTAGTGGCAGGGAGTGCAAGAGTGGTGGAAAAATGTAAACGTCTGCATCCAGTGCAGTGGCAGCAAGGGTGAGAATTCACATCTAAGGCAATGGGTGGCAAGTGTTATTATGCTAGCCAGTGCAAGAATGGATGTTGGACACCGCAATGCACTGTACACTGTAACGCATGGACACCACAATACACTGTAACGCATGGACACCGCAATGCACTGTACACTAACGCATGGACACCGCAATGCACTGTGCTCTGTAACGCATGGACACCGCAATGCACTGTACACTAACACATGGACACCGCAATACACTGTGCTCTGTAACGCATGGACACCACAATGCACTGTACACTGTAACGCATGGACACCGCAATGCACTGTACACTAACGCATGGACACCGCAATACACTGTGCTCTGTAACGCATGGACACCGCAATGCACTGTACACTGTAACGCATGGACACCGCAATGCACTGTACACTGTAACGCATGGACACCACAATGCACTGTACTCTGAAACGCTCTGGACACCGCAATGCACTGTGCTCTGTAACGCACTGGACACCACAATGCACTGTATTCTGTAACGCACTGGACACCACAATGCACTGAGCTCTGTAACGCATGGACACCGCAATGCACTATACTCTGAAACGCATGGACACCGCAATGCACTGAGCTCTGTAACACATGGACACCGCAATGCACTGTGCTCTGTAACGCATGGACACCACAATGCACTGTATTCTGCAACGCGTGGACACCGCAATGCACTGTTCTCTGTAACACATGGACACTGCAATGCACTGTTGTCTGTAACGCATGGACACCACAATGCACTGTTCTTTGTAACGCATGGACACCACAATGCACTGTACACTGTAATGCATGGAAACCACAATGCACTGTACTCTGTAACGCATGGACACCACAATGCACTGTACACTGTAATGCATGGACACCACAATGCACTGTACACTGTAATGCATGGACACCGCAATGCACTGTGCTCTGTAATGTATGGACACCGCAATGCACTGTGCTCTGTAATGTATGGACACCGCAATGCACTGTACTCTGTAATGCATGGACACCACAATGCACTGCGCTCTGTAACGCATGGACACCACAATGCACTGTACCTGGTGTGCCCTCTTCCTCTCCTGTTGCTCTTCTAGCTGCAACACGTGAAATCAGAGGCTGCCGCTCGCTGGGTCCTCGCGGCTGAGGACTCAGCGAGCAGCCTAGCTATTTCCGATTTATTTTTTCGGCGGGCCAGATAAGCGGCTTTGGTGGGCCGTAGTTTGAGGACCCCTGCAGTAAGTTATGATGTCATGTTGTACAAATGAAAGTGTACGCCGAGGTTGATTTAATTTGATAATAAAGTACTTTTAATCGGGAAAACGAGTCGCCGGCCCTTCACCTTATACAAACGCCTGCAGGGGCACAATGAAATAGTAAACTTCTATCAGGGTAAAGGGGGAGCAGAAGGGGAGCAATATACTGCTAAAAAAGGAGCCGAAAACTATTCACCATTTGTATGACGGATGAACGGACATGCGTGTTCTGTAAAGGGTGAACTGCTTGGTGCTGCGAAGGAACATGGCACCCGAAGTGTTAAACCGGAAACAGCCGTGTTCCTGATTACTGGGGCAGCAAATTGCTCTGAGTAAGAAATTAAAAGGAACGCCTTTAATCCCGATAATACAAGCCAATCCCCTCTTTGGCACAATCCATTTGCTTAAAATATTCCATCTGCCGGCTGATTATTAAATAAAAATAATTAATAAATTAAGAGCGGAACAGGTAAGTCGCTCCAGCAGCAGCAAACAAAGAGAGCTTGGATTGCAGTTTCTGGCAGCCTAAGACGGCAGCGATCCCGCGGGTGCGTCCAGGTCACGGCATTACATATTAATGCAGCCTTATATTGTTATTATAATTTATAAAATACAAACATATTCTGTGCGCAGCCAAAACCGGATTATTACGCAAAATGACAAAACTGCCACTTGCAGTTTAATTGTTTGAATACGATACTTCTTAGGCTTCACAGGAGAGATCCTCGGATAAAATAAAATACAAAGCACAACAAATAACATTCAAATACTTTTTACAATAACATTATAAATGTTTAGAGAAGAAGCCTTTCTTGGCCTTCTTACCACATCATTTTCAGGTCTCAAGGTACCCAATGGCAAAGCCAGTTCACTGGTGGTCAGTAGGAAGAATGCTCCTTTCATTAGTGGTCAGCTGGAAGCATGCCCCTTACATTGGTGGTCAGTGGGAAGAATGTTCCTTACATTGGTGGTCAGTGGGAAGAATGTTCCTTACATTGGTGATCAGTGGGAAGAATGCCCCTTACATTGGTGGTCAGTGGGAAGAATGCCTCTTACATTGGTGATCAGTGGGAAGAATGTTCCTTACATTGGAGGTCAGTGGGAATAATGTCTCTTACATTGGTGATCAGTGGGAAGAATGCCTCTTACATTGGTGATCAGTGGGAAGAATGTTCCTTACATTGGAGGTCAGTGGGAATAATGTCTCTTACATTGGTGATCAGTGGGAAGAATGTCCCTTACATTGGTGGTCAGTGGGAAGAATGTCCCTTACATTGGTGGTCAGTGGGAAGAATGGTCCTTACATTGGTGATCAGTGGGAAGAATGCCCCTTACATTGGTGGTCAGTGGGAAGAATGCCTCTTACATTGGTGATCAGTGGGAAGAATGTTCCTTACATTGGAGGTCAGTGGGAATAATGTCTCTTACATTGGTGATCAGTGGGAAGAATGCCCCTTACATTGGTGATCAGTGGGAAGAATGTCCCTTACATTGGTGATCAGTGGGAAGAATGTCCTTACATTGGTGGTCAGTGGGAAGAATGTCCCTTACATTGGTGGTCAGTGGGAAGAATGTCCCTTACATTGGTGGTCAGTGGGAAGAATGGTCCTTACATTGGTGATCAGTGGGAAGAATGCCCCTTACATTGGTGATCAGTGGGAAGAATGCCCCTTACATTGATGATCAGTGGGAAGAATGTTCCTTACATTGGTGGTCAGTGGGAAGAATGCTCCTTACATTGGTGGTCAGTGGGAAGAATGCTCCTTACATTGGTGATCAGTGGGAAGAATGCCCCTTACATTGGGGATCAGTGGGAAGAATGCTCCTTACATTGGTGATCACTGGGAAGAATGCTCCCTACAATGTTGGTCCCTGGGAAGAATGCACCTTACATTGGTGGTCAATGAGAAGAATGCCCCTTACATTGGTGGTCAGTGGGAAGAATGTTCCTTCCATTGGTGGTCAGTGGGAAGAATGCTCCTTACATTGGTGGTCAGTGGGAAGAATGCTCCTTACATTGGTGATCAGTGGGAAGAATGCCCCTTACATTGGGGATCAGTGGGAAGAATGCTCCTTACATTGGTGATCACTGGGAAGAATGCTCCCTACAATGTTGGTCCCTGGGAAGAATGCACCTTACATTGGTGGTCAATGAGAAGAATGCCCCTTACATTGGTGGTCAGTGGGAAGAATGTTCCTTATATTGGTGGCCAGTGGGAAGAATGCTCCTTACATTGGTGGTCCGTGGGAAGAATGCCCCTTACATTAGTGATCACTGGAAAGAATGCTCCTTACAATGGTGGTCTCTGGGGAAAAATGCCCCTTACATTAGTGATCACTGGGAAGAATGCTCCTTACAATGGTGGTCTCTGAGAAGAATGCCCCTTACATTAGTGATCACTGGGAAGAATGCTCCTTACAATGGTGGTGTCTGGGAAGAATGCCCCTTACATTAGTCATCACTGGGAAGAATGATCCTTACAATGGTGGTCCCTGGGAAGAATGCTCCTTACAATGGTGGTCTCTGGGGAAAATGCCCATTACATTAGTGATCACTGGGAAGAATGCTCCTTACAATGGTGGTCCCTGGGAAGAATGCACCTTACATTGGTGGCAAATAAGAAGAATGCCCTTTACACTACTGGTCATTGGGAAGAATGCTCCTTATATTGGTGGTCAGTAGGAAGAATGCTCCTTACACTAGTGGTCAGAATGCTCCTAACATTGGTGGTCAGAATTCCACCCTTAAAGAAAGCTAAAATCTCACTGGTGTCATGTCACTGGGTCTGCCAAGTGGTGTTGGTTCTAGCACCATGCATCTACCATCAAATGAGAGGTCAATCAGCCACAGCTCATGAAACCCTTAGAAACGTTTGGTGGAAACACCATCAAGAATGGCTGGTATATGGCATCCTTTCTCAAATTTTTTTAACAAAGAGGAACCTCTTAAAATAATTCACAGAATCTCTGATTAAATATGTCATCTACAGCTCATGGTACATTAACGTGATCCCTAAGTGTGGATAAATTATTAAGTAAAAAATTTGAATTACTTAGAGTATTTGAAAATCAAAACAGATAATCCCACACTCCCTCACACACTCTAGAAGACATAGAGGAGAAGAATTTGTGAAAATAAATTATTAATAAAAATAAAATTAACAACACGGGGCCAGAACAAAAAAACTCTGACAGACCCTGGTGGTCAGTGGAAGAGGGCCTGCTTACACTGGTGGTTAGTGGGAAAAGGATTCCCTATTATTAGAGGTCATTGGCTGAAGGAATCCCCACTACAGGACAGCTGCCCCCAACACAGACAAATAAAAGATCTCAGGGAGAAAAGGCTGGTATAGAGAGTTTCTCAAAAATATTAATTCTTTCTTTCTTTGGTAAACCCGACAGTTCTCCTTGTCTCATATGACCCATCCAAGGCATTGGACACAGCTTCTCTGGCTCTATCCCTCCCCCCCAAGCTCCTTCACTGGAATACTCAGAAAAACTACTCATGAAATAAAAATTGATAATAACGTCCAGAATAAACATCGTGATGCCTGATTACATTGGTGATCAGTGGAAGAATGCCTCCTTACACTGGTTGTTATTGGGAGAAGGAACCCCTAACATTGTTGATCAGAGGAGATGACAACTCCCCCATCATAGAAAGATAAAAGATCTTGGTGGTTACTGAGAGACAGATTTAGTTATTTTCTCCAGAACACTTTGCAACATCTGTAGGAACCCTGATTAAGAAAGGAGAGTTTGAAAACACTCTAGATTATGCCTCCTATGCTAATCCTTACAATTCCTCTTGCCTCATATGACCCATTACAGGACCATTGCCAAGGCATTGGTCACGCGAGCCTCTGGCTCTGCCTGATGCCCCACCCCCAAGCTCCCTCACTGGATTCCTCATAAGTATCTAAAAGAAATCACAGTCTGAAAAAGGTATTAATATGGAGCCCCCTTCCATGCAAACCTTTGTGACTATTACAGCCTCCAAGGCTTTCCACAAACAAATTTGCAACAAGGCTGGAAGTGCACAATTGTCAACTATATATAAAGAAATAGCATCATCTGAGATTTGCAAAACTTTTTTTTTTTTTTTTTAGGTCGACATACAGGGCTGAAAATCGATGTGACATGGGGGACAATTAGATGGCATTACTCAGGAGATCAGGTTGGTAATATAAAGTTTTTTCAAGTCACACTTGTCAATTTAAGCCGCATATTGTGTAAGGCCACTTAATTCCCGACAGCAGAACACTTCCTGGCTTGATGGCAACACTGGCACATCAGAAGGCAAAAACTTGTTTTTATCTTCAATTTTTCAGAGGGACAGAAGGCATGTGTCTGCGAAAGAGTTTGTGTCCCCAGAACCGCCTCCCATCGAACAACAGTTCTGGGAAGAAATCTTTCATATTATCTCTAGGCCAGGGCTTGAAATTTCCAGTCGCCTACTCGCCAATGGCGAGTGGAAATTATGCTGGGGACGAGTGTGTCCCCAGGGCCATCTTGCTGAGCAGGCTCGGAACTCAGGCCTGATCTGTCATTGGCACTGGGAGCCGTCAGACTGCTCAATAGCTGAGCGCAGTGAAAGCAAAGCAAGGAGTGTGTTCTTTGCTCTCTGCCTCCCCCTAGAGTGCAGTACCCGGATCTGTGAGTGAACAACGAAGTACGGCAACTTTTTATGTGTGTGTGTGTGTGTGTGTACACGTGTGTATCTGTACATGTGTCTGCGTGTATGTACATGTGTGTATGTACATGTGTCTGTGTATGTATGTACATGTGTCTGTGCATGTGTATTTCTGTGTATGTACATGTATCTGTGTGTATGCGTATCTGTACGTACCTGTGTGTGTATACATGTGTCTCTGTGCGTGTGTGTACATGTTTCTGTGTGTGTGTGTGTGTATGTGTATGTACATGTCTGTGTGTGTGTACAGGTGTCTCTGTGTGTGTTTGTTGGTGGCGAGTAACTCTTAAGGCCTGGCTAGTAGCTCAGGACTTGAAATTTTAAGCCTTGCTCTAGGCTGTTCTTGGTAACAACTCCACTGACCCAGTTACAGGCCTCGTGAACATCCAACCCCCGGAACTGATCTCCGAGTAATTCAAATTACTACTAAAGATAACTACCGCAGCTAAACAAACTATGGCAAAGGCTTGGAAGGCACCTTTTCTCACTATAGTGGACACTAAAAATAGAATCACCCAAGTCATGATCCATGCTAAAGTCAAAACAATTTTTTGGACAAAGTTCACAAAAATACGAAGCACTATGGCAGCCTTGGCTGGCTCACTTCCTACCCTCAAATTTTAATAAATCCCTGTTACTTCCCTAATGGCTCAGTTTTGCTGTCTCTGACTCCTCATTACATGGAGAACAGCAGAACATCACTCCCTTGGATTTACCTATCCACATAGAAGAAAAATATATTAGTAAATATATTTTAAAAATATTCTTCCCAAATATATTGCCATATATTTGAAATGCTACAATTTTGGCCATATTCTATATATTTAAAAAAATATTTCAATAAATATAAATATATATATATATATACAGTCATATTATACCCTTGATATATATCCTATATATCAAGTATTTATATAAAAGGTATTGCACTGCATGTTGAAATGCATTTTTATTAAAAACTATAAAATGAGGCAGAAAAACATATTTTTAAAAATACATTTCAAATATATATACTGCACGTCTTTTAACCATCAAAACTACAAATCTCACAATTTTGGAATGCATTTACAAATATATGTAAAAAATATATGTTAAAATTACTTTTTTTTATATGTCAAAAAAAAAAAAATCAGAAGATTTCCTGCTGGAAGAAAAAAATACATTTTTAAAAATATCATTCGTTTGCGGTATACAGTAGAATGATGTGCTTTACCGCGAAAAACATTGTCCACAAGACGTTTTCCCAGAGGCTTTGGTCTTACTTTTTTTCATTGAACCTCCAAAATATACTGTGTTTTCTTCAGATTTTTTTTGCTATATATATTTATTGAAATATATTGATAATGGCCAGTGGGGTCCTCCTGGGTCTCCTGTAGCATTTCAAATAGATGGCAATATATTTGGGAAGAATATTTTTTAAATATATTTTTCTTCCATATGGGTATTTTCCCCCCCCCATTCTGTTTTTCTGTATCCCCGCACTTGGCACTCAGGCAAACTTCTTGGACATTCCCTATTACTCTGATATTTTGCCACAATATCTGTTGCTCCGCTCCTATGTGAGCAGATACTCATATATTAAAACAGCACACACACTTTTATGATGCTGGTGTGTTATGTAAACCTCAGGTCCCCCATTACGATTTCACTGTATGTTTATCAATGTGATGATTACTTTACTCCTGGCTCTAACATCTTTAGTATTTATATACTATTTTTGGGGGATGTAACCTTTATTCTTCCCAATATACTCAAGTACTTGCCAAGTATTTTTGCCATTTTCATTGTTCAGATTTAACAAATCACTCAATAAAACCTTTGAACAAGGAAAAGACATAACTATTAAGTTTTTTTGCACTGCTGTTCAGCAGACCAACAGTAACACCAAAGAGTTCCCAGCACAT